ATATCGATATCGGAATTATATCGTATCGACTGAAATTAAGAAATATATCGTGATATAAAATTTTGCCATATCGTCCAGCCCTATGTGTCTCATACGTTATATTCCTAGTCTTTTAATAACGTTCGGTGAAAAACCGACAGCTTTTTAATCATTATTCATTGAAAATCAGTAGTTTTGGTAAGTCAGTAAGGTTTAATTAATATTTTAGTACATGTTCATTGTTATTGCACGAAACACCGACCAAGCTATTATTGGCAATTTCTCGTTTGCTGTCAGAAAGTCAAACAGGATAGAAAAGAACACATTGGTGAGTAAATAATAATTTTTTGTTTTATGTTTCTATGAACATCCTAGCATCATAGTGACAAGTTTTTAATTGTATTTAGTTTTTACTTTTAATTTTTTATATTTATTTTGTTTTTATTTTTTTCTATATTTTTTATCAATTTTATTTTTATTCAGTTTTAATTTTGTAAATATTATATATTATATATAAATATAATATACAATAATATATTATATTATAAAAAAATATTAATATTCGTTAGTCATTGTAGTCCATTTATTCTGCCTTAATTGTATAAAAATAATATTTTTGTTGATACATGCATTTAGCATAAATTGTTGATGATCATGTGCAAAATTATGACATTTTATATCCAGAAGTCTGTATTTGTTGCTTTATCTGGTTCTTTTTCTTTTCTTTTTTGACAAGTTTTTATTTGGTTTAGTTTTTACTATTTTTATATTTTTTATTATTATTATTATATTTATATTATATCTATTTTATATTATATTTTTTGCTATATCAATTATTTTTTATTTATTTTGAATGTGCTATAAATAGTCTTTTTTATTTCCTGCAGTCACAATGAGACAGAATTTTAGGAGTTCTCCTTCTCGAATATTTTCTGTCGTGTCACTTAATAAGCAGAAGATGCCTAAAGGAAACAGCACTAGAACAGTGTCAGCGGCACTTCCTGATGCTCAGCTGGGAAAGTCAGCACATTTTATGAGGTCACTGTGGCTATAAATAGTGCTGCCTCAGCCGGGAGGGAAAATGCCTGCAAACCAAGTTTTCAATAACTGCTGCACAAAGGCTGTCACTGAAGCGTATTCAGCTCCAGATCTGCTTGTTTTGACTGTGTGAGTGGTTGTGGTGGGTGAAGGATCTTAGCGTCATTAGAGGACCGTTGCAGTCATTGCTAGTGCCATCACATTCATGCCATCTGCCACCTGGTGTTGTGTGTGTGTATGTTTGAGGAGTGGTTTGTGTTTCTTTTCTTTTCTTTTCTGCATTTAGCGTAAATAATTGATGCTAATGTGCAAAATGATGACAGTTTTATTTCTATCCATCCATATGAATTTGTTGATTTATCTAGTGGCAAGACAAACAGCAGATTCTTCATTTACACCCAATAAATACAGTGTTGCTGATTAGCTTGATTTGCTCATGACTCTATTATATTTGGTTCTCTGTTGACAGCAGGATGTTGACGGGGATGTTGTGTGCTTTATCATGCAGATAAAAAGCTGTGAAGCGAAGACATCTGCTAGCCTCATCGACTTATTTTTTTAATAGTATGTGAAATGTAGTATGTAGTATTTTTAACATTTTAAACAGCTATATTATCTCTTGACCACATTGCATGTTTAACTGAGAGAGTGACATCCAGTTAGGATCTTGGAAATAAGTGTCATAAATAGTGATCGCATTGCATTGTGGGATAAGGCATTCTGCACAGTATGCACTGGTTCTATACTAAATGCTGGTGATTCTGAAATATTGGTAAAACCGATTGTTTTCTGTATTAATCAGTGACAATCTCTCTGTTTCTCTCCCTGCAGTGTTTGACTACAGCTATCGGGACTATATTCTGTCGTGGTACGTCCCCTTGAGTCGAGATGAGGGCCAACTCTATCAGATGTTGTCTGAGGACTTTTGGGAAATGACCAAACAGCTGCGAATGCGTCTGTCTGAGGTGGATGTGGTCAACCTGGTCTGTAACGACATGGTCAAGACCCTCCACACGCACTTCTGTGACCTTAAGGCTGCTAACACAAGGTGAGACACACAGCGCTACTAGTGGTTCACTGTTACGGAGGATAAGATTGTTATTGTTATTGTTAAGAAATGTTTCTTGAGCATCAAATCAGCATATTAGAATGATTTCTGAAGGATCATGTGACACTGAAGACTGGAGTAATGATGCTGAAAATTCAGCTTTGCATCACAGGAATAAATTACATTTTACAATATATTCAAATAGGAAATAGTTCTTTTAAATTGTAATATTATTTCACAATATTACAATTTTTACTGTATTTTTGATCAGCCTTGGTGAGAATAAGAGACTTCTTTCAAAAACATTAAAAAACATTCTTACCAGCCACAAGCTTCTGAATGCTGATGTATATGTTTTAAGTGTTTTACTTCTTCCACCAAAAACACAGAGTGTTTAATGTGGTTTCTTTAAAACACCCAAATGCTGTTATCCGGATTGACAGAGCGAAAGCCTTTTCTTTCATCTTTACTCTGATAACAGCACACAGCAAATGCACCTTTGCAAAACCTTTGTGCTTGTGATTGAATTTGAAGAGCACTCTCTTGATTTTATTCATTGATTACTGATTTGTCAGTGGAAAGAAAGCCAAATGATTGCTTTATAAACACAAACACGCATACTGGAGATTCATATTTCTCAGTTTAGTCTTCAGTCTTTCTGTGTGATTCCATTTGCTTACACTCTCTCTCTGTGTGAGTGTGTTGGATGCGGATGCAGTAATGAGCGTCTCTGCTCACCGTGTCTTCATCATTGTGTGTGTCTCAGTGATCGATCTGCACAGCTCATTAGCTGAGTGGACAGGCATCTTCTGTTGCCCCTCTTTTTCTGCCTCTCATCTGTCTTCCTCCACCTGTTCTGTTTATCTGTCTCTGTCCATTTATGGAATATTTCCCCCTTCATATTTTATGGTCTTCATTTTAAATGCTTTGTTGGTGTGAATGCTTAAGAAATAATAAAATAAATAAAAATAGTATAAATAAATAACTTTATAAATAACAGTTTTGTTTTTCAGAGTGCTTTTATTGGCATGATTAGAAAATAGTATAATTATTATATATTATATTATATTATATTATAATTAAATTTTTTTATATATATATTTATTCTTCTAATAAAATTTCAGTTTCACTTTTTCAAAGTACTTTATTGGCATGATTGCTTTGCATGTTGTCAAGAAAGAAAGGAGAAAAATATAATTTTAATAAAAAAATAAAACAAAACAAGATATTAATTTGTTTTTATTTTATTAATATCTCTTGCAATTTTACTTTTTCAAAATGCTTTATTGTCATGATTGCTTTGCATATTGCCAAGGAAGAAGGAATAATATAATATGTAATGTAATGTAATGTAATGTACTATTGTTAAATTATATTATAGTTAGAGTTTAAAAATAAATCAAGATATCAATTTCTATTATTATTGTATTCTGTTAATTTCTTGCAATTTTGTGTCTTGCAATTTTATTGTCTATTTCAAAGTATTTTCAACGTATTTTATTGCCATGGTTACATATTGCCAAGTGAGAAAAAGGGAAAAAAATAGTGTTCATATAATATAATTGGATTAAAAGAAAAGAAAACAAGATATTAATTTCTGTCTCTTACAATTAAAATTTTCAGTTTGTTTCATTGGCATGATGGTTTGAATACTATAGAATCCAATAGTCTCTCTGTCTCTGTCTCTGTCTCTCCAGGCTGGAGGAAGTACCACGGCCGTTTCCGTTGCATCCGTGTCTGCGCAGTCCCGATGAGGAGCTGCGTTTCCTGCGCTGCTGCGCCCGTCTGCTCATGCTGCGTCTGCTACCCGCACGGGACGCTCGTTCATGCAGTCTGCGCCTCTTACTGGTGGAGGTCGTCGCTACTAAAGGTAACTCTCACTGAACCTGGTGCACACTGTGTGATATTTTCTATCTATCTATCTGTCTGTCTGTCTCTCTGTCTGTCTATACACACACACACACACACACTTATATGTTTGTAAATAAATAAATGCATTTATTCACACATTAAATGCATTAAATTTAATAAAAGTGACAGTAAAGACATTTCAGATATTACAAAATATTTATATTATTTATTTCTCTTAAAGGTGACATATTATGCCCCTTTTTACAATATGTAATATAAGTCTCTGGTGTCCCCAGAATGTGTCTGTGAAGTTTCAGCTCAAAATACTCCACAGATCATTTATTATATAATTTTGAAAATGCCTATTTTGAGTGGAAGCAGAAACAAGCTTTTTTTCGGGCCTGTCTCTTTAAATGCAAATGAGCTGCTGCTCCCCTTCCCCCTTTTCCAGAATAGAGCTGCACCATTACAGCTCGTATCTGCTAAAAACATCTGTTTTGGTTATGATTATCATGTTTATCGCGCTGAAATCATGCGTTTTAAACCATATGAGTTTAAACTTCAGATATAAGGTTTTCTGACCTCACACATCTGAAGCACACGGACAGAAAGCGGCTGTCACAGCATGTGAGTACTAAACTAAGTTCTCATTCACACACAAGTTTACGTTAAAAACACACGAGTTACAAAAACAGTCGGTTATGTCTGTGAAGGTAAATAATAGGCTACAATGTACAGTAGCCTAAATAAATCAATAAATCCACTGCTCTATTGTCTCTGGGACTGAGGCTGGGACTCTAAATAGTGTTCTGTGCTCGTCTGTGCAGCCAAAGACAGAACAGTTAGCATGTTTTGCTCAAACTTTCGCCATGGCATTAGAGCTGGTACACCGTTGTCGCTTGTGAAATCAAAATGACGGTGCCTTGAGTGGAAGTTTACAGATTAAGGGGCGGTAATATTATAATGAGATCCCTTTGCCACGTCACCAAGGGAGCGAAATCAGACGTGCTCGTTTTCTCACACGCTTGCAGAAAAAGGCTTACCAAAACAAAGTTACTGGGTTAATCTTTTTCACGTTTCCTTGGTTGGTAGATGCACCGGGGACCTGATTATAGCACTTAAAACCTGGAAAAGTCAGATTTTCATGATATGTCACCTTTAATACTACTTATAGATTTTTTCATTATTAATATTAGTATTACAGTTTTCACAAAAATGTTAAGCAGCACAACTGTTTTCAACATTGATAATAATAAGTTTCTGATGTAAATTCAGATTTGCCTTCACAGGAATACATTGTATATACGTTGATGTATACGTTGTAATATATCGTGATGTTATGCTCACTCTATAATAGGTGACAGAAGAAATGATAATTTTATTTTATTACCGGTATTAAACAACATAAATTCTTTTGAATTGCTAGAAAACTCTGCTGTTGGGAATATTTTTCACACATAAATTAGCTTTTGTTTGTCATAACTTTCCTCTGATGTGGTTTAATAAAGACGATCTTTCTTCAATACGGCTGAAAGCAGTACAAGACTTCGATAAGTAGAAATAATTTGCTTTCATAAATCAAAATGAGATGCAGAGATTTGGTGCTCATGTTCTACACGCTGATAAATCCCCCTCTCACAGCACAAAGCTTTCATTCACTGACAGTTTCATAACTTGAGAATGAGATTTTGGGAGAATCTTGTTTTTGGCTCGAGCTTCAGTGTCTAAACTGACATCTCTCTGCACAGTTGGATTGGACGGAGTTGATTGACTGTTCAATGCTCATCTGTGTTCTTACAATGCTGCTCTTGTGTAAGAACTCATGAAACATCTACTGCGGGTTTTTTTTTTTTTTTACAAATCATGAAATTGATTCCAGGATATTTTCGATGACCACCAGATGCAGGGCCGGATTTACCTCTTTTTGTGACATAGGCAAAACAAATTTTGGGCCCCCAGTCCCTATTAATATAATAGGCCTAATATTACCACCCAAGCAAACAAAAATATTTCTTAATCAGTGGAAACCGTTACAGTGTTTGAGAACTGAGAAAGACCATTCCATTAATAGGCGCGGCGACATGGCCACATAAGCACTTCGGGAGTGCATTATTTATCTAATAATTTTAACGGCCTGGAGTCACAAGATATTGTTCAGATGATTTGTTTCAAGACATTTGACATGTCCTGAAATCTCGTGTGTGTTGAACTAGCTCATTTTTTTACGCACCTCATCCCAAACCTTCCGTTGCAAATTCCAAAACGTCATTTTAGAGCTAAAAACAGAGGCTTGAGCCATTGATATGCAGGCTAACGCAGTTATTAATGCGGTCTAACGCAGTTATTAGAGAGAGAGAGAATGAAAGAGAAAGAGGGAGAGAGAGATAGAGATTAAGTGCATGTGAATACTTGCGTCTCTGCGTCTCTCAGCAGTATTCAGCAGCAGTGTCTACTAATAGCGAATCTTTAAGTTGAACTGCTTCAAGAACCTCGCTACTGAGAAATGTGATGTATAGCTTTTTTACAGACTTCATAAAAATTCCACACAAATTACATTTTGGGAAATTATGGCAATGCAATTTGTGTGCAATTCCGGAATAGAGATCGGCCAAAATAAAACTAAAAACCGGTTCTGATTTACAGCCGGTCGACCAGTGGATCTCTAGAACCCCAAACTTTCCCACATTGCTGATTTAAAACAAGCAGGCGGTTCTTCGAGCTCTTGCGTGGCGTCTGAACTCGCCGGTCTTGTTTTGGGTTGGTGCGTAGATAGTCTCTTCTGCTCTTTCCTGTGGTGACAGTTAGCGTTGCATTACTGCAAGCGCCCCGTTCTGAATTGATCGCCTATGACTGACTGTGTTCGTCATCTGACTGCATGAACCGAACCGTGACATCCGTACCGTGACGGTTCAGGACGAATACATGTACCGTTACACCCCTAGATCAGTCAGTGTGATACTGAGAAATGATGGATTACTGCTCAATATTAAAGAATTTTGGGTGCTCAGAAATCTCCCATCACTTACACATAATGATTAAGTAATTTCCTTTACCAAAAATTTTGAATAGTTCACCCAAAAAATTTTATTTGCTGAAAATGTACTCACCCTCAGGCCATCCAAGATGCAGATGAGTTTCTCCATGGGAACAGATTTGGAGAAATGTAGCTTTACATCACTTGCTCACCAATGGATGCTCTGCAGTGAATGGGTGCCGTCAGAATGAGAGTCCAAACAGCTGATAAAAACATCACAGTAATCCACAAGTAATCCACACGACTCCAGTCCATCAATTCTGTTAACTTGTGAAGTGAAAATATGTGTGTTTGTTGGAAACAAATCCACCAAGACGTTTTTAACTTCAAACTGTTGCTTCCGGCTAAATTATGAGTCTTCTATCCACAATATTGCTTTCTCCAGTGAAAAAGTTGTTTCATCTGAATCAGGAGAGAAATATGCACAGATCAAGAACCGTTTGCAAGTGAAAACAGTCTAAAAAATTTCTAAACAAATATGTCAGTGCATTTTGATGTGGGAGGACAACAGAGGATGAACTTTTTCACTGGCTGAAAGCAACAGTTTAAAATTAAACGCCTTGATGGATTTGTATCATACAAACGCGCAACTTTTTGCTTCACAAGTTAACAGAATTGATGGACTGAAGTCATGTGGATTAGTAGCGGTGTTTATTTGGAGTTTTAAACCGCGCACATGAGAGAGAGAGCCTATGGAAGCACCACTAATCTAAATAATATGCTTTCAAACATACTGATAAACTCACATATATTTGGATACAACACGCGGAAGTTATCAGTCGGTCTGCAAAATCATTCATCGCTGAAAATCAAAAGTGGATTTATTTTAAAGCGGTCATATGATTTCATACGATTTAAAATTTTCTATTCTCTTTGGAGTGTTACAAGCTCTTGGTGCATAAAGAAGATCTATAAAGTTGCAAAGACTAAAGTCTCAAATCCAAAGAGATATTCTTTATAAAAGTTAAGAGTCAGCAACGCCTACCTAAAACGCCTCATTAAACGCATATCAGTCATACAGCGCTCCGGACTACGAGCCCGACGCACCACCACAGAGACAAGAATGAGATGCATTCTAACATAACTGTGGCATTAAACTCAGTTAGTTAAGCCTCAGTTAAAATATTGCACATATATAGGCCATTCAGATCACTTGTTACAGTGCAATGAAATGCCTTATATCAGCAGACGATGTGATGACGATGACAATACTATCATCTATCGGCACAACCCTAGTTTGAACTCTCATTCTGATGGCACCCATTCACTGCAAAGGATCCATTTGTGAGCAACTGATATAATGTTAAATTTCTCCAAATCTTCTGTTCCCATGACGTAACAAACTCATCTGCATCTTGGATAACCTGAGGGTGAGTAAATTGTCAGCAAATTTTGGAAGCTTATGGTTTTCCCAGATCTGTGCAACTTTCCATGACTCAATGCTGCTTTTCATTCAACATTCCAACTTCCTATAATAGAGCATGGCAGTAGGTTATGGCTTTGATTCCCAGGGAATGAATGAACTGATAAAATGTATACCTTGAATGCAGAGAGAATATACTAGAGAATTGACTAAATAACTGCATTTTAAAAGATTAAAGATGCCCTATAGCTTCAGGATGCAGCTGCCAGATTAACTTCTAACCCATTTTCCTCTGTTCTGGGATTATACTGGAGGAAGCGTTTGCATCTGTTGTCTCAGACTGGCAGGTTGCCACTGTTTTTTTGTTTTTTTTTGTAAGGGAAACAGGTCAATTTAGCTCAAAGGGAATCATTTAAGATTTTAAAGGGAACTCCACCAAAAAGGGCGAGAAGTCATCCGCCGGCTCTGTCTGGCAGTAATGAGGCACTGCCTCGTGCTCCGTCTGCTGCGTCTCTGCGTTCCTCATCAGCGCTACGTTACCAAGCTCCTGAGGAGGTGTAGAGATCTCATCATAATGAGTGACGGAGGAGAGACTGACTAAAGTGTGATGAGGTTTTAAGAATAATTAGCTCTGTTCCAAAACCAACTGAAAATACACTGAAAATAATTTGGTGTAGGATTTACTTTGCTAGTAAATGTTACAAACAATTGCAAAGAAACACACTGAATTAAACATCACATTTTAAAGTAGAAAGACTGAAATAGTATTTTCTTGTAAAAACATTATTTACAGTGTAATGAGCTGCCTTTTTGCAGTGTACATAAGCAGCTACTCTCTAAGGCATTTAAACTAAAAGGAAACTTCGATAAAAGAGTGATTTGAAGTTCAGCATTGGCAGAATCTCCATATCTGACCTCAATAGCACTCCTCAAGTGAAATGCATAATAGAATTGGACTCCGAATCGATTTGTTTGTACAGTTAAGGGCAAATGAATTGATTCAAATGATTTGAATGAGTGTCTTTGCAGATGGCTGCATTTTCATGAATTAGAGTGATTGTTTCCTTCATTTCCTTTTTTTATTGTTTGAGATTTCCATTTAAATATTTTTAAAAAATATTTAATTTAATATTTTCATTTCTTTATTTTTTTTAAGTGAAATATTTAGATGCACTCTGTTTTTTTTTCTTGGTTATATAAATTGCAGTGACATTTTTTATGTTTGTTTGTTTATTGAATTTAGTCTAAATATGTATGTTCATGCAATGCTGTTACCCTAATTGAGATCTTTTGCTTTTGTCAAACAAATTAAGAAAAACAAATTTGTTTTTCACTGATTTTACATAATCAAATGCATGCTCTCGTATATAGATTTGGGAAGTATGATTATTAATTAATCATTTGTTCATCATAGTACAGTGCAAATGATCTGATTTGAATGATTCATCAGTTCATTTGAGCATATGTGCAGATGCCTGCATTTTCATTTTTTTTTTTTATTTCCTTCATTTTGAATCTTTTTCTAAATTTTAATTTAAATACTTTTTCATTTAATATTATCATTTTTTTTAAGTGATATATTTAGATGCACTGTTTTTTCTCAGTTATGTAAATTGTAATGAATTTTATTCAAATTATTTATTTTTTAGTTGTTGTCTGAATATGTATGTTCATATAATGCTATCACCCCAAATTATTTATTTTGCTTTTGTAAAATGCTTTGATAGTAAACATTAATAATATATTTGGATAGATATATATTTAGAAAGCTTATGCAGTTGCTTTTTCTGAGTAACTTCATGTGTAGCTACAGTAATTGCCTTTTTAAAAGGGTTGCTTGACTGTAGTTCAGTTATGAGTAGCTTGTCGTTTACGAAGCGTGGAAGGCAATATAATTGTGCATGTTGAGGTTGTCAGCTCACTGGGGTTGGCACAAAGTTCTCTAACTTGTTCTCTCTATCTCTCTCTCTTTGTAGTGCTAAAGCCATTGGTGGACGTGTTGAGTGATCCGGACTACATTAACCGCATGCTGCTAGCTCAGTTAGAGCACCGAGAGCAGGTGAACGAGCATCATAAGAAAGCGTACACGTACGCGCCGTCCTACGAGGAGTTCATCAAACTCATCAGCAGCAGCTCTGACATACAGTTCCTCAAACAGCTCAGGTACGAAAACACACAGCGGCCCATCAGTGCCATATCTACCATCATTCTGCATTCATTTAGTGGTGCGTTCTGTTATTGCTGATATGTAGGCTTAGGGATTTTTAGGACCCATTGAAATCAGTTTTTTCCCCCAAAATCCATGTTTTCCATTTTAATGGTTTCATTAAATTTTAATAATCAAAAAGGATGTCTATTCATTTGAATTCACAAAAACTTTCATTTTATATATATACTGTATGTGTATACTGTATGTATATATATGTCTATGTAGTGTTTATTCATATTTATTTTGGTTTTAGTTGTTGTAGCACATGGAGTAAAACTAAATTAAAGTGCCTTGGCTTCTAGCTGAAAAAAACAAACATTTATTTGAATGTTTATTTTATTTCAGGTAACAAAAATGCTTTTTTTTTTATTAATGCATTTACAATAAACCTTTTAAACAGAAATCCGAACAATTTCTTTCATTTTTTGGCAAAGAAAGTGCACAACTGAGGTTTACAGATTAAATTAAAACATGGGTGAAAAATCGCACAGTAAATTCCATCTTTATGACTGCATTTTGCGATTCCGTCCACATTTTCTGCATCGTGGAAATCATAGGGTTCTAGAGTTGAACGAACCCCGCACACTTCTCGCTATATGGTACTTTTATTTTTTTTAAAAAGTAGATTGTAAGCCGTTCAGCAGTATGTGAACTAGTGTTGGGCGATATGGTCATTTTTCAAATCGTCATATCGCCAGTCCGTGAGATCGCCGATAGACGATATTATCGTGCATGGGTGGGTGGGGGCAAGAAAGAGACTCTTTGTACTTGTCAGGCTATTTCATAACTATTTGGTGTTTTAACCCGCGCGGGTACGCGCGCGAGAGAGGGAGCCTATGGAAGCACCACGAATCTAAATAATATACTTTCAAACATACTGATAAACTAACATGTTAAATACAAAAATATTTAAAACAGCTAGTTCATATATATTCGGATACAACAGTCATACATCGCTATTAGGACCGCACGTCCTGTGACAAGTTTGCCGCATTGACGCACGGAAGTTATCAGTCTGGTCTGCAAAATCAGTCAACGGTGAAAATCAAAAGTAGATTTATTTTAAAGACCAACAGTTTAACACTAAATATTGGAAATAAACGAACATGTTAAATATAAATTATTTAAAACAGGTAAGTTCATATATTTGGAGTAAATTTTAATTAAACAGATACATCAGTCATACAGCGCTCCGGACCGCGCGCCCCATGATGAGCCCGACGCACCGCCACAGAAACAAGAATGAGATGCGTTCTAACATAACTGTGGCATTAAACTCAGTTAGTGAGGGCTCGAGACTCCTTCACCGGCTACAGGCTCCTCATTTGCGCGTGCGTGCGTGCGTGTGTGTGTGTGTGTGAAATACAGTGCTGAATGAAAAAGCGGGGCTATTTGATAATAATAGCCGAATTAAAATGGACCGCCTAATCATAATAATAATAATAATAATTATTATTATTAATACACTAATAGGAGAATGAGCCTAATATCGTCTTGACTATCGACAAAGACATCTGCTATCGTCGATACACGATACTATCGTCTATCGGCACAACCCTAATGTGAACATGCCTGTAATACTGGTCTGGCTCTGCGGTCAGCTTTTTTGACAGTGATTTAATAGGTTATTGATTAATATTATTGTGTTATCTTGAGTCAGAGTTAGCGGATGACTCACTAAATCTGTCTGGATTTTGGCTATTTCACCACATCCAAACCAATTTATTTACGTATAAAAATAGTTCTGTTGGAAAGCAATTTCTGCTACTTTCGTTCAGACAAATCACTCTTTAAAAAGGTGAACTGGAAGTCGGCACTGTCATTTGTCATTGCTTTTCAGCTTGCGGTATCAGGTCGTATCGGAGGGACATTTGTCATTTAAGGTTTGTTCTGCCAGAGTTCAGCTCTGGATGAATTATCCGTGAGTCGTGAGACAGTGACAATTAAAGACTCGGAGAAACTTTTCAGCCGTATTGATCCGCAGGAGTAAAGGATGGAAATGGATCGGGGGCGACAGGCAGGAACAGACAGACTCTGGCATTCTGAAATAAAAGCATTGTGATTATAGTGTGTTTTATTGACAGGCATTATAAAGATAGACCTTTTCAATGTGTCGGGTTTAGTTGTAGTGCTTTTTAGTAGTTATTGCAAAGGCTACTGCTTTTCAAAAGCTGTAGAGAAGCCTGCAATTTACAATGGTAAGAAAAGCCTTTGAAACCTCCATAGGAAATAGGGCTTGGAGGAAAAAGCCATCTGCCTATTGTTCAATGCCAACCATTATGGAAAAGCTGTAAAATTAATCTTCGAAAAGGAAAGTTATACTCCCAGTGTTTGTAGTCAGATTGTGCTAGGAGGAGAAAACATATTATTCAATTAAGAAGAAAGGTTGGCACAAATGCCTACTGTTATAGCTCTACAATTCTGAGCTTGAATAATATACTAAAGTTTTTTGCTAAATTAATTAGCTTATGCTAAATTAATACTTGTATATATTGGGATATAAGGATGCCTTCAGAAAAAGTAACAGAGTTGACAGTTTCAAAGTTCATTTAGCCGTTACTTGCATTGTGTTCAAGATAATTCTGTCTGTCTGTCTGTACAGACAGACATGATTTTTTTATGTTTTCAAAATAAGCATTTAATGCTTACTAAGGTTGCATTTATCTGATCAAAAACACAGTAATCAAAAACATATATATATATATATATATATATATATATATATATATATATATATGTATATATTAATTTATATTTTCATGTATATTTTTACAATTTAGATTTAATTTATATTTTAAAAAAATTCGGATTATTTTTACCATTATTTAAAAAGTTGCTGGATTTTTAATTTGTTTAGAAAAATATTAATTAGCACATTAAGTACCACATTAAACATTAAATAGTCATTATTTACATATGTTAATGAGGATGCTTTGTATTAAGAGCACTTCCTGTGATGAAACGCTTGTTGTATTCCTCAATTTGAAGTCTCTTTGGATAAAAGTGTCTGCTAAAGGATTAAATGTAAATGTAGGATGCAGACAGCATCTGTTTTGAATAGAGCGCGACCGATATGGGTTTTTCGGGGCCGATACCGATATTAGGGGGTAAAAAAGGTCGATATTCTTATCGATATATATATCGATATATCGGCCGATATTCTTTGTGTATATTATAGTACAGTACCAGCCAAAAGTTTGGACACTTTCCCATTCGAGGGTCCAAACATTTGACTGGTACTATATATAGAATATATATACATAAATTAGTATATACATAAACAGAATATATATATATACATAAACACATTTTTTGCAATGATCACTCAAATGTGGTGATCAAACACTTATAATGACGTAACAGAGATACGTAATGGAGGCAGGGCATTTAACAATAAACTTTATTATCCAAATATCCAAAATGAGTCTGACATCAGTGCACTGAACAGTAAAGTTGAAGCAACAGAGATGAGACAAACTACAGGAGCGAGGTGAGCCGCCTGGCCGGGTGGTGCAGTGACAACAATTTCTCTCTGAATGTGGAGAAGACGAAGGAGATTGTTGTTGACTTCAGGAGAGTGCGCACTCAGCATGCTCCTCTGTCCGTCAATGGTGTGACTGTGGAGAGGGTGAGCAGCACCAAGTTCCTGGGTGTGCACATCACAGAGGATCTCTCCTGGGCTGACAACACCGCAGCACTGGCCAAGAAAGCACAGCAGCGTCTCTACTTCCTCCGCAAACTGAGAAGAGCCAGAGCCCTGGCCCCCATCATGTGCACCTTCTACAGAGGCACCATCGAGAGCATTCTGACGAGCTGCATCACTGTGTGGTATGGCGCCTGCAACGCGTCCTGCCGCAAGACACTTCAACGCATAGTGAGAGCAGCTGAGAAGATCGTTGGTGCCTCTCTCCCCTCCCTCCAGGACATTTACAACACCCGTCTCACCCGCAAAGCCCTCTGCATTGCAGGTGATCCCACCCACCCAACACACAGCTTCTTCAGTCTGCTGCCATCAGGGAGGAGACTGCGGAGTCTCCAGGCCAGGACCAGCAGACTGAAGGACAGCTTCATCCATCAGACTGTCAGGAAGCTGAACTCCCTCCGGACCTTGCCCTTAGAATTGACAATAAAGCAGACTTTGACTGATATCGGCGACAGGCTCATATCGGCCGATAATATCGGCAAACGATATATTTATCTCGATATAGGGCTCTAGTTTTGAAGAATGATCCTAAATATCTTAACCCGCTTGTGGAAATGTTTCTGAATGACTCTGTGATGTGGTATTATTATTAAAAGAGATGATATCTGTACTGTCACCTTTAATAACAGCTAGAAGCTAGTAGTCTGTCAACTCTACAGTTTACCTGAGACCTTTGTTTCCATGACAACTATAAGCCTCTTGGGCTTATCTTTAGTCGCATTGACACTTAATGTCTAAACACTAAACATCTCATCAGCCAAAGAGGGTGTTTTTTTTTTAAATGGGCTCCTATTAGATATGCACAAGGGGTTAAACAGTCTTTGTTTGAAAGCTGAAAGGAAAAGGACGTTTTTTGTGTTGAGAAAATTCAGCATCTATAATTTGACCATCTCATTTCACACCAGGAAGAAACCTGAGGTCAGGTAATGAGACACAATTAAACACACAGATTTCTGACCTCGCCAGAGACCGTAAAAACAGCTCGAGTTGTGTTTGATTTAGTTTCGAAGAAGCAGAGAAAGAAAGCTTAAAGATTAGAGCTCTGAAAGCAGCTTTATGGAAATTGAATTAGTGTAAAAGCCAATAGGATGGGTAAATGTGATGCTGCCTTCAAATCTTCCTGAAAAGTTCCTGTTTAAGTGTTTGCAATTCGAAATTGTAATGTAAAGTGATTTTGATAAAATGATCACCTGGGCAGTCTTTTTGTTCTCTTTTCAAGTTGTAGCAAAGCATTTTAGCCCTATACATCTAAATGAACAGAAAATGATCTGCTTCAGGTTTGTATTTGATGTTTTATATGTGTATTTTATGATTCTTATGCTTTTACTGGGATTGATGGGACATTTAATTCAGTCTGCAAATCTGCTGCCAGATAAACTGGCTTTTTATCAGACCACAAAATACCGGTACATATAAACTAAATTGCTTAACTATTAGGAATAGTTTACCTCAAATTAAAATTTGCACCCTCAGGCCATTCAAGATGTAGATTTATTTTTTTTCCCCCCATTGGAACCGATTCAGAGTCCAAACAGTTGATAAAATCATTATAAACTGTTCATTATCCATAATAACGCTTCCTTCAGTGAAAAAGTCCATCTCCTGTTGTCCTCTCACATCAAAATCCACCCACTGTGCTTGATCTGTGCATATTTCTCTCCTGATTCAGACAAGATGACTTTTTTTACTAGAGAAAGCAAAATTATGGATAGAGGACTCTTATTTTACGCAGCTTTTTGCTTCGTTAATTGATAGACTGGAGTGGTGTGGATTGCTGTGATGTTTGATCTGTGATGATTGTTATCAGCTGTTTGGACTCTCATTCTGACGGCACCCATTCACTGCAGAGCATCCATTGGTGAGCAAGTGATGTAATGAATAAAAAACTTTCTCCAAATCTTTTCCCATGAAGAAACAAACTCACCTACATCTTGGGTGGCCTGAGCGTGAGTATATTTTTAGTAAATGTAAATTTTTTGCTGTACTATTCCTTTAACATTCACAATCCCAACTTAACTATGACCACTATCAATTTGCTTCCACTATGATTGTTTAATTGACACAATCCAGAGATTTCCACTTATAATTAAGACATTGCGTTCATCTCATAAATTCAGACGTTAATCGAAGGCAGCATGACATTTGCCCAAATTTCCATAAATATCACAAACTGTCTCATGTTGTGACATGTCATTTTTGAAGGTCACCGTCCATATCATCTTATAATACTCTCATTTGGCACCAGCTACTTGTGGCAATGTTCTCAAATTACTTGTATTTGACTTTCATGAAGCAATTTCATGCAGTCTTACTCTCAATCACGTCCTCTCTCATCAGGGGCTGTGAGAGCAGAAAGTGTGTAATAAATATTCAGTATTTCTTCAAATCGAAAGGATCCGTTTAATTAATTTTGAGTGAGTATTATTCCTCAGAGGAATTTCTCAATGAAACTCTCATTATTCAATAGCAGAGACGTGTTAGTGGAAGTGATTTTATACTACAGACAGTCTGAATTTAAAGGAAAATGTCCTTGCCTCTTGGTCGACGTTTGAAGGATCATTTTTAACCAACAGAATTGTTTACACAGACTTGATATTTAGTTAATCAGTTTACTTTGGTTCAAGGTTTCTTTGTTTAAAGTGCACAGTATGGGTACAAACTAAATTGAGATGATTTATAATGTGAGGCTTTATACAGACTGTTTAGTTAATCAGTTTACACTCGATCTTAAAGGGGTCATATGATGCGATTTCAATTTTTCCTTTCTCTTTGGAGTGTTACAAGCTCTTGGTGAATAAAGAAGATCTGTAAAGTTGCAAATAACTTTATATTGCAAAAAAGGAATTATGGTATTATTACTGTTTATTTTTCATCCAGTGGGTGGGTGCAGTACAGTGTGTGTGTGTGTGAATAGAACAGTATTCCCTCAGAAACTGAAACTCCCTCTCACCAATACATTTTAGCTCTAAACGATTAGAGATGGTACTCAAGTCAGTCATGGGTATTTCAACTATTCTTGCCACAGCATCATAAAATCACCAAATAATGTTCTTTTTAGCAGCATCATATGACCCCTTTGAAAGCTTATAACAAGACTGCACTTGATAAATGTCTTGTATACTATTATAGTGTTTATTAGTATTTTTTTATATTTCTACATAGCTTTAACTTTAAATGTTAGCATTTTTAGTATGTGAACTTAAACTTTTAGGTAACATTTTACGATATGACTGCATTTGTTCACATTAGTAAACATGAACTAACAATAAAAATACTTCTAAAACATTTATTAGTTGATGTTAATTATAACATTTAATTATTAAAATCAGAAGTTGTATCTATTAATATTTAATGTACTAGGTCACATTAACTAACAATGACTAGTTGTATTTTTATTAACTAATGTTAAAAAGATTAATAAATACTGTAACATATGTATTTCTTATTGTTAGTTAATGGATTCTAACTAATAGAAACTTATTGTAAAGTGTTGTCAACATATTTATTTCAGTTTGTTGCCAAGGCATCCTTTTCAATTTTTGAGTTTTTATCTAATATTCATATATTTCAGCTTTATTTCAGTTACCAAAAACGGTTTTTAATAGTTTTAGTTAAAAATAACAACACTGGATAAATTCATGTCATTTCACAAAAAGCAAAACATGCACGAATATAATCAGCTTACATACAGTAATTGTGTTGTATGTTTATGGTACTGTTTTATGGTGCCATCATGTGAAAGTTAAAGAAACAAATACCAGTTTTAATTTTCCAGTCAAACATCACCATTTCTCACACTTATGGTTAATTCTTAATTTCTATTGTTCACGCCTTTTTGAATTGAACCAACCAAGAAAGAAACACCTAAGAAAAAAATGACTGTGATGGCCTTCTGGCTTGATAAATAAACATTCATTCATTCAAATGTAACCCTACAATTTCATAATAATAATATGATTTAAAATTACATGGCAAAATGCTAAAAACTCTAGCAACATGCTCTAGCAACCATTTGAAGTGCTTATTTTTTTTTTTTGCATGTTTAAACCCCACTCAGATTTTCTTAAGAAAATGTAATAACTTGTGTATGTCCATATACTTCATTTCATCACTCTGCTGTCATTTTGTCTCTCTGCAGGTATCAGATAGTTGTGGAGATCATTCAGGCGACCACCATTAGCAGTATCCCACAGCTGAAGAAACAGAAAGGTAAGATGACCTTCAAAACATCGGTCAATCATATCTCTCATTATTTAGGAATACAAAACTCTGAGTTGCTGCTTTCTTCCTCTTTTTCTTAATTTTACTCGAATGATCAACTTTTAAAGGGGTCATATGATGCGATTTCAAGTTTTCCTTTCTCTTTGGAGTGTTACAAGCTGTTCGTGAATAGATAAGGTCCCTGAAGTTGCAAAGACTTAAGTCTCAAACCCAAAGAGATATTCTTTATAAAAGTTAAGACTCGTCCATGCCCTCCTAAAACGCCTCGTTTAGACACGCCCCCACATGTCTACGTCACAATGTGGGAAGATTTGCATAACGCCGCCCAAATGTTCACACAAAGAAAGAAGG